CAGTTGAAGATGCTCCACAGGCTGCTTGTATATATAGTTCGACAGATCTTCATCAAAGCTTGCCAAATCTTCTATCTCCACCTCAATCCAATATTGTCCAACATTATAATGACGTTTGAGCTCATCTCTTTCAATATAGTGGGAGGGGGAAAAAAGAGACCCATTAATATATTTATTGGAATAACATTCACAACTATGCACAAAGCTGCAGAACTCTAGGGCAAGTTATCTTATTCTGATATATTTACCAATGCTTCAAAGGTATTTCAACTTAAAATGCTATAAACAACTGTTTTAAGTTTTCCAAAAGAGAAAGGGCACCTGTATTTGAAAGAGAAGCCAGTCCTGTCTGTTCCAGTACGATACTGTCTTAAAAACTCTTTAAAGCGTTTCTGCAGCTGGGACCTTTGAACCTGTCCTTCATCTGCAATTGGGTCTCCACCAAAGCTATCACTGTAGAAAATGCCAGGGTCATCAAAACCAGACATGATGATTCTCTGGAAAAAAAAAAACCAGAATGGAGCTGAAAGATACCAGTAAGATACATTACAAATATAGGTTTCACAACTTATATTAAGTCTAGAGTAGCAGGAAGCAGGTCAGCATTAAATTTAATCATTACAATTAAGCCAATGCTCCAGTTTAAAATATCGGGAAAACACTTCTGAGCATGTGCAAAGTGTATTACTTTTACCCTACAGGTCTTATACAAGACAGCATCTTCTTTTGCATCATTTCCCCTTTTCTCTATGGCATATGGATAGTTTATGATTTTACTATTGCAAAGCAATAATTCCCAATAATTATAATCAGAGCCACATGAAGAATGAGTTGCCTTGGAGCAAGATGGGCGACAAAATAGATAGGTAGGTAGATAAGAGATAGGTAGGTAGAGGCAGGTAGATAGATAGAAATAGACAGAGATAGATAGGTAGATAGAGATAGATAGACGATGTAATTCAGCAATAGGACGAGAGCCTCGGGTTCCCTAGTATAACTGACAACAGGAGACCTGTGTTTTTAAGCTGAAAAACTGCAGACAGGAATTGTCCTATTTTTGAAGAGCACATTATAACCAGCCAACTTTGATGCAATCGACCCAGCCAAGTTCTCCAAGTTACCATCATAGTGGGGAAGGATGGGAGTCGTGCAAAAGTTGACTTTGGGATATACAAGAAATGCTTGGAGGAACATTGTTTTAGAAATGAGCACCGCCTCTCCTGAACAGACCAAGATCCGACCCAAAGGCATACAAGCAGGTATCGCTCTAACGCGCGCCCCTGACCCCAGCGCCCCTCACCTGCCTTTCCAGCCGTAGACAGAGAAACCCCTCGCAGAACGACTCGCTCGCTAGAACTCTGGGGACGTTTTCGCGGCAAAAAGTAATGAAAAAAAATTCTGGATTCGCTGGCAGTCACGCTTTGCGCGCTGTCATTGGCTCAAGGGCAGCAGGACGTGTGGCGATTGGCTAAAAACTCTGTCCTTTAAACTCATTCTTTAAGGGCGCGAGAGAACGGCGGCAGCAAGCGCCGAAAGCGATTGGAGGCGACCTAAATCAGGTCCCGCCTCTTTAATCAACTTTTCCTTTACCGAATTGGTTAGCCGTCCGCAAGCCAGAGGAAGTTTTTTTTTGGCGCCAAAACTTATTGCTTATTGCGGAAAAGGAAAGGAAGGTTTAAAATGGCGCCTGTGCCTCGAAATGGGAGAGATTCGGCGCTTTTCGCGAAATTCGCCATCGCGTTCGCGTGTAGATTTGTTACCTTCATAGCCATGGAAGAAGGTCGTCCTACAAATAAAACTTGTCTTTTCCAAGCCAGAAAATATAAGAAGATACATCCGTTGATTTTGTTTTGTCACTACCCTAAAGCAAGAGGGGTGTGTGTGTGTAAAAGATTTAAAGCAGAATTTGATGTATCTGCCATATGTTAGAGTTAGACTAATATTTAAAAGCATAAAAATAATGCAAAATGAAGAAAAAAGAAATATCAAAGTCAGCTAAAAGTGCAAGACAATTTTTAAAAGTTTTTAATAAAATTATTTTAAAAAGATTTTTAGTAACAAATCAGTGCATTACGGTTTTAAGTATATTATGTAAGATCAAATATTTTATTAAATATTAATAAATTAATATTTAATAATTATTAAATATTAATATTTATTAAAACTTTAATGCTGAGTTTAGATTATATTTGTAATTTGATTTTGGGCCTTCTGGACAAAAGACAAAAGGAGGGTAGGGAAAGCTTTCCCTTGCAATAGAGACACTTTAACATTTGGATTACAATATTAAAATGACAATTGCCAAAAAGCTGCAACATGGCAGAGGATCGATACAGCAATCTCAGAGAGCTTAGCTGTGAGCTTGGTAAAGATCCCTCAACATCTAGCTGTTCACAAGTCTGCAAAAACCTGTAGTCTTCTCACAAGCAGAAAGTATGTGGAATGCAAATGGACAACCTCACAATCTCTTTGTGTTGGAAGACAGTGCCATCCAGAATTCACCATCTGGCTATTGATCACAATGCCATTTAGGAATGTCTAATCTGTCATAGATTTTCATGCAACAGTATTAATTTGAATTTCAATGTAAATATTGTTAAACCTTACAAATAAAATCTTTTGGCGGCTGCTCCATAATTTTTAAAAGTGGGAATGGGTCCTGGAGGACAAATATTTAGGAAACACTATTAAATTAATCTAAGCATCTTTTGTTTCACGGAACAGTTTCCCCTCCTGCCTTTTTTTTTTTTTTTTGGAGAATTTAAGGTTTGCATATGGTGTTAAAACATAATGTGATTTGTTCAATAAGCATGGCAAGCAAGTTGAAGGTAAACAAATATGATAGCACAGCAGATGTGAACCTTGTCTCAGTCCACTTTAAAACGAGCTTAAGGAAAGAAGGCAAGGACTTTATGTGTTAACTGGAAACACTCTGCATATATTACATACATAAATACTCCTGATTGTTGGTTTTTGTTTATGTGTTGTGTATTTATGTTGTACACTGCCTGAGTCATACTGTCTGAATTGAGAAGCCTTATAAATCTTGAAATAAATTAAAATGGCCAATCACCTCTTCCACTTTCACATGGAAAGAAAAAAGATAGGATGGGAAAAAAAGAAGGTAATGAGTGGAGAATAATGTCAACCTCTGCAGAATTCCATGGATGCCGCAAGTGACCATTCAATTATAGATTCACCTGGAAGCATTTTCAGGTAGAATTTACATGGAAAACTCATTAAAAGACTGCAAGGCATTTTCTTCAGTCTTTTGCAGCATGAGATTTTTTTTTGTTTTCTGTATAATAATTTGGGAGCACTTTCATTGCTAAACAAGTATTCTGATTTCCTAGGAAACAGGGTTTGTAATCACATTAGGTTGCTTGTATAGTTGTGTAGTTTGCTGTGTTCTGCAAAACTAGATCTGGTTATATGAATTGATAACTGCTTTGCATGAGTTTGGCTAATTTAATCAAATGAGTACAGGTAGACCTTGCTTAATAACTGTCCTTTTTAGTGAACATTTGAAGTTGTGATGGTTCTAAAAAAGTAACTTTATGGTTAGTCTTTACATTTATGACTATTAGAAAGACTCATGGTTACGTGATCATCATTTGTGTACTTCACAACTGTTTTCCAACAAGTAGAGCCAGTGGCATACAGTATAACTAAGTCCTGATCACACGATGTCTCACTTAATGGTATGTGGTGACTCTTTTAACAAGTGATGTGAATCATTGCAAGTCAAAGTTAGTGAAAGGTTCAATATCAATATAATAAATAATATAATCTTGAATTAGTTTTTGAGAAGGATGGGAATGAAAGTTAGCATTTAATATTAAAATACTTTATTTTAAAAATACAAATTCACTGAAATCAAGAATCTACTGAACAGCTAAAGGAGCTAGAATGAAAGAACAGTATTCTATGTCTGTATACTCCATGTTTGTGACCATAAGGGTATTTTTTATTATTTTTCATGAATGTATGAACTGGATGGTAATTTGTAATTAATCTAGATCAAGATCAGTATGAGATTTTAGCAATGTCAGTTTAACAATGTCAGTGTCAGTGTTCTTTCTAGGAAATAAAAATATTCCTGTCTTTATCTACATATATAACTAATATATTTATTGCTACCAGGGCAAGTGCTCCTACCTCATATTTTTTAAGCTTTATTATATTAACAAAATATAACAAAATGCATTTTTCCTGAATCTGTCTAAAATATGATAAAGTAACTAGGTTAGCCAATAACACTAAGGCAATAAACTGTTGAAATGTGTGGATTGCTTGACTCTAAAACATAAAACAGCTGTTAAAGAGATCACATGTTATGTCCTTCCAATAAATGCCTTTTCAATATTGACTTTTTACAGAATGATTTAATTATCTTGCTAAACACAGGGATAAATTACTTTTATGGCAGAGTACTGATTAGTCCATTTCTATCAGTTATATAACTCAGTGTGGAAAGGCAAACATTCTTCAAACAATCTGATAAACACATAAAAGTACACAGTTGAGTTAACTTAGAAGGAGCTTTAATGAAAGTACATATAACTTAAAAGTACAAAGTACAAATACAAGAATCTTTTATTCTGTTCTTGAAAGGTCATTGCTAAGGCACATCTGCTTTAAAGTGTGTCGCATAAAGTCATCGTTTTAGCACTCTTGCATTTTAGGACAAAGAAAAGCAATGCAACACATACTATATAGAAAATATTGTACACAAACACTGAAAAAAAATCACAGCTTGATTTATTCCTCACATATTCCAGATGGCAAGTCATCATTCTTTTCTCATCTTAGCTTCTTATTGGTTTAATGGCATGTGATAAAGTGGCATTTCAGGTTCTTTAGAAAAATGTATTTGACACAAAGTTCTTTTAAAAAGCTGTTGGTAAAACAACAATACCTAAAACTGGAGAAATAGTCAAGTTCAGCGCTTCCAATATGCGAGATAATCTAAATCTGCAACCCTCATTTCTTTTTTTAAAAAAATGCATTAATTCAGGAATAGGCAAGTAGTAGTAAAAGTGCTTAAGTTCTTTTCAGTTCATAGAGCATACAAGCCCACAACAACTGTTGTTGCTAACAAGAAAAGAGCGAGAGTCCAACGCAAGAGTGTGGTGCTGGGCAGCAGGTCTGTATGCTTCATCTGTGCTTGGCCACTTTTCTTTGGTGCTGTATTAGGAAAACAAAAATTGTTCAGAATGAAAACCAGCTGAAAAGGTAGTATTACTAAATTATTAAGCACAGCAATGTTTTTTAGTCACAGTCATAGCATCACTAAATACCTAGTACTTAGTAGCTCTGCAAAGTAGAGCATATTGCAGTAACACTGCAAAGTTTATGAGACTATATATTACAATTGTGTTGACTTAAATTGTGTGATAGACAACCATTTGGTGGTTGTAGCTTTCAAATGAATTAACTGTGGGGTGGGGAGTGTGATGACGGAATGTACAACTTGTAAACAAGATCATGAAAAGTTAGTATAGTCTTATAGTTATGCAATCAAATATATGAACATACATCTTTAAACAGCAGTGTCCATAACAAGCCATGGTGATATCAACATGGTAAATGTGTGCATCTTGTTATCCTAAAAATGATGAAATTATTCAAGATATGTGACAAGATGCCCCTGTAATTCTCCTGTCTCTGGATTATTGTATGAAATATTTTGTATATTGTATGAAATATATTGCACATGCAATCTTTGGTAGAACTTCACTTGTAACTTATAGCTGTAAATTAGTTTTCCATCTGTTTTCATATCACTAATTGAAAATGTTCCATGTTTAACATATGGCCTATACCAAATGTAGATATTTTAGATGCACAGGGGAAGTAGGTGGCAAGGGGAGGTGTGAAAATCATTCTAAGTGGGCATATTTTATAACATATAGTGATTTTTCAATTATCCAGGATAAAAATAAGAAAATAAATTACAAACGATAGTGAATATTAATGAATATTAATGAATTGTTTTTTCATCGCGGTTGCAAAAAACAATCTGAAAGCTAAAATAATTTCTTACTCTGCATTCTGTTGTTTCCTGTTGTGTGAAAATCTAATTTGGATTTCCCAAGATGATTGTTCTGTGGAGGCTTGCCTTGATTCACGAACTTTTGCAGCTCCTGAAACACCTGAGAAAAATGAACCATAGAGTAGTTTAATTGCAGAGAAGTATTCTTTCTCTTCATTCCTGAATTTAGATTTTGTGAGACCCATTTTAAGGAATTTAGAAAGTCTGCTTATCTTCCAGTCTTCCTACTTCAGAATAACTTTAGATATGGAAAGCAACACAGAAAATGGATGTTTAATATGTTCAACAGTGGTCATCTACTTTGCAATAATGGATATCAGTCATGAATATAATTTGAATATGAGACACTACAAATCTAGTGCATAGATAAATGTGAAAATTTGGTTCTTCCTGTAGATATGTTTCTATCTATCTGTAGATAAAGAAAATCTATTTGCAGTACCAGTAACATGGGAGGAGAAAAAGAAAGAACTCCGATTCATATCTCCTAATGAACTACATAATATTTCATTTGTATCAGTGGAATTTGAACTTAAATTCTATACTGCTAAGTGCCTCTATTTTTGGAAATAATGCATAACTATAATGAATAATCTAATTCCCTTTTTAAAATGTCTATGTTAATGCCCATGACCACATCTTATAAAAATGAAATTCAACAGTTAACAATACATAATGTGGGGATGTATTTTTAAAAATATGTCTTGAATCATCCAATTTCACCTTTACTGGCTGACTTAAAGGTTCTGGTATTATGAAACCATTTTATAATATTAGTACCCTATGGTTTTCTAAGATTGCCATGCTTTTTCTAAAGCGTTTTCTATGCTTTTTCTCAGTAGAGCTGCTATAACTCCTTCGTCCTTTCCCACAATGTTCTTTGAGATATAATAGTATCTTAATAATATTCAATTGATATAAAATGGTATAAAAATATAGTGAAAGAAACCAGGCTGAAGTTAAATGCTGAGGTAAGGTAATTGTCTATAAACAGATGTCACGAAGCAAGGATTTTTGATAGATTTGAATACTTCCATCTATATTTTCAAAGAATCCCCTCCTCTTTTCATGAAATCTGTGCTCCTTTGTAAAAATCAACCAAATCAATTTGTAGGGTACTGTTGAAGCATTTTAAGAATATGGTAATATGTTAATTAGTTATTGTTTAGACTGGTTGATTCTAATAGAGCATGTTGTTTTATTTCAGAGGGTAATCTTAAGCTTTTTAAATGCAAGCACAATTATTTCTACTATTCCCAAACTTTAGCATCATAATCATCTTTATCTTTTTCTTATGTTTTTGTTCAGTTATTTAGCTGGAGGAAAAGTTCTATGAAAATCATAGCATTGTTCACCCCATTGTTATTGATTGTTTTTGATAAAGAAGGAGATATTTCAATCTACCAGATAAAACAGCAATCAATGTTTAAGTAGGAGAATTGTACTTCTTAAAATTACTTATTTCTTCAGTTTGCAAAAATTAAATGTGACTAATTACTCACTTCAATATTCAAAAGAAAAGATTTTCTGGCCTCTTCAACAATTCTCTCAATAGTAGAAGAATCCATGGGAATGCTGTTCATCCGAGCTCTATAAAGCTGTTTGAATTTGCTGATGTTGGTGATTGCAGAGAAATTGAAGAAAGACAGCCCTTTTCCAGTATTGGGCAAACTAAGAGATTTCTGGGCAATTTTCTTCAGAATCTGGCCACCAGACAGATCTCCCAGATATCGAGTGTAAGCATGGGCCACTAAAAGTTCAGGTTCATGCTGGCCCACATGATGTATCCTATCCACATATTTCTGAGTTTCCTCCTGGCACTGGATGTCTTTCTTCCATGTGGGACCATAGAAATATTCCAGATCATCTTCCAGTGCAGCTGTGCGATTCAGCTCATTGGGGAAATAAACAGGCGCATAGACTGGGTTGTCCTTGTTCCTTTCAGACTCTTCCTCCAGGGCCACATAGATGTAATACAGAGAACCCAAATAAAGCTAAAACAAGGACAGGGAGGAAAAGAAAAACAGTTACAAAACCTCTCTTCAGTCATAAATATTTCTTATTTATTTGATTTGATATTTAGATTCACCTTCCTATTAAAAAGCCATAGTGTTCATGATTTTTGGATTCCAATTTTAGGCGGAAAAGGCTGCTAAGAATTCAGTTTTGGTAGCATTTGATGTCTGGGAAATTTTATTTGATTGTTTACAAATTGTGTTCAACCCTTTCATGTCATTTGGAATGGTTACGATGTGACATTTTATATTGGCATGCATTTATCTAACCGTATGTACGTTTCAAAAATCTTCCTTAAATAGGTTGAATGCAGTAGTATTGCCTCACTGATCTGAGAAAAAGGTGTGAGACACCATATGCATTAAATGTGATTGATCTTCACTTGTTGACCATTTGAATTCCAATTATTGACATTCTATAGGAAATACAATTGATTTCCTAAAACTGCATGTATACTTAGAGATTTCAACACTGGAAATGACTCAACCTACACTGGCAATGTTTCTGAAAAAATCAGTGGGTTGTAAGTAGTAAAAAAAGTTTCTAGTGATTTTCCTTATCTATCTTGACTTTCCATGTAAGAATTCTGCTACAAATGCTCCTCTATCCCCATGTGGAGAATTTTGAGATGCTACAGTAGATAAGACCAATTAGAGACAAACTAGGTCCTCACTTTATTCCAGCATTATTATCCTACAGTGCAACATCATTGCTAGATAAAGCCCAGTTTTTAAAATTCACAGAAACATTTTGAAGAAAAAAGACTCCAGGTGTTATTTTTCCACTAACATTTTAAAATGTTTTTTTATGAAATAGTTTGTGTAATATTGGGTCTAAAAACATTTGATCAGAAGAACAAAACTAGATATCTTTTAAATATTAACCAAATTCCATGAAACATTTGTTTAGATGTGATAAAAGAGCTAGTTTCACAACAATTCGAGAAAATACTATGTTTACAGGATACGAGAAATGAGGAATACTAGAAAATGGCTTAAATGTACAAATAAGGGAAGGAAGTTGGCTGCAAGATTGTCATGCAGTCCCAATATAGACTTTAGTTAGTAGCATGTCCACAGCAATTTCCTAAGGTCTTAGATTGGCCTCTAATCTTGCTAAATTTTTAGCACTGTTTAGCTGTTTCCATTTGTTCACCCCAGGTTTTGGACCCTTGTATGGCTTGAGAATATTAATGGGAGAATATAGATTGTGAGTTTGTCAACCATTGTTGTATTTAGTGACCTACAATTCTACCATCAGCTAACAGTACAGTATGATATTCTCAGACTACAACAAAACACATACTTAGAATATGTTAGAGCTTTGTCCAACACAGTTTAGAAGCATCTGCTTTCTCTTATGCTCCTGAGTACTTAATGTGATAGAAATTATTTTATGTATCTGTATTATTAAATTTATATGAAAAACTCACTCTCTTAATTTAGCTATTAGAATCCTTTTTATATCCAAGGATTGGTGCCCCTTGCACTAGCATTTTCCCTTTGGTTTCGCCTTGATGCCACTATTTCACACTTGGCAGATCACGCAGTATTATGCAGATTAATGGATGAAACCTTTAATCAGGTGTCTGCAATACAATGTATTTGTCTTGAGGTTAGTGTCTAAATTGCTACTTTGTAATTTCGTCTGTTGCACTTTTTTAAAAATTGTGGCTTGTTTTATATTGTGAATTGTCTACTTCTCAAAAGCAGCATGAAATGTTGATCATCCTAAACAGTAAAAAAAGCCCTAGCCAGTTGGGATGACTCCTCAAAGGATTCAGCTCCTATTGTTGCATAATTGCTATAGCTGGATGAAGATGAAAAATGTCTGATACAACTTGAAGATTCTCCTTTGAGAAATGTTGCAGTAGGTACCAGGTGAGAATTAGGGAAAGGAAGAACTGAGAGACATGGTTGATATTGAAGCTTATTCAATAGTTTTAGAAAGGGTAGTAAATCTTTTGTCAGCTTCAGGAGATTATTCTTAGAGAATTTAATGTATTGCTATTTTTTCTGGAACCTCTAAAACCAAGCAATTTTTGAAAATACAATAATTGTTCCTTTCCCAGATATTTTTTTACTATTATTATTAATACTTCTGGGTGGAAATGGCAAATTGTAGTGAGTCACTGAAACTTCCCTAACCCATTAGCTGGTAATCAACAACTTTGGGCAAACATTCATTTGAAGAAAATGGAACATACTGTCCTGATTCTATTTGCTTTCTCATTATTTTTTCTTATGCATAAAAATGACAACAGAGCCAATCATAATATACTTGCATTATATATAATTTAGGCCTAATGTTACAAAACCATACACACATATCAAAACTTATTTAAATTTTCTCTAGGTAATAATGGAGTTTTGAATAGTTAGTTTTGATGTGTCTTGTTTATACTTGCCCCTCACTCAATCTAGTTTTCTAGAGATCAGCCAATCGACAAAGAAAAAGATCTGAAGAAGTTCTAACACTTATTTGCTAGAAGTATTTTGGTCAATTGAGGTTAATCTTCAAGAATTTTGTTTGTACTGCCATCACTTCCATTTTACTTTAGTAAAAATGTTGTACCTTATTTTTCCCTGTGATGATTTTATTAATTGTGTCCTTGTTGCCTAGCATCCATTATCTATTCAGCACTTATATCTAATGACTATTTCTAGTGGAAATAGTCTAGAACTGGAAAATGTCCTGGAAAATGAATACTCAGATATTTGCGCATTTCTTTGGTCACCTATACCGACACATTGCAAAAATGCATAGTATGTTCCCATCCAAAAATGAATCAGGGAATTGTGTCTTCCCATCTTCTATACCAGGGCCCTCCAAACTTGGCAACTTTAAGACTTGTGGACTTCAACTCCCAGAATTCTGGGAGTTGAAGTCCACAAGTCTTAAAGTTGTCAAGTTTGGAGACCTCTGTTCTATACTGTAATTCCAACATAAAACTGTATATTATTATTTACACTATCAGTTTCCTTTCTTTTTTCTTTTAGGAGTTCCTCAATTCACTTTAAATATATTATGCAAATATAATATATAATGAATGATTTCTTTTTGAATATACATTCTAGGTGTATATGGTGTAATGTTGCTGTGGTGCAATGTTTTTGTTTCAGAACAACAATATTTATCAGCACAGTAGACTTGTCTGTCAGGTTTATCATGGGGTAATTTGTTTCCCTTGCTTGTTTCCTTTTTGTTAATGTGTAATGCATGTGTTAATTATTCTATTTACAGAATTCTGTATTTTCAATCTTTTATAAAGTTGTACATTCTGACGAAGTTCCTCTGCTCAAGCAAAATCTATATACAGTGTACACCTCAAGAATATCTTGAGCTCAGTATTTGGATTATGCCTTAACTTTAACAAACATTATACTCCCAAGTGTACTGAGGAATAAGTTCTAGTGAAAATTATTTCTGAATAAACATATTTAAGATTGGTACAACACCCTTGTTTATACTTAGCAAAAGATAAAGCATTTGCTTAAATACAGTGGAGTCAAACACAAAATTGCTTATACCAATCATAATTAAGGAGAAGAGAGTCAAAGTCAGAAGAAGAATGACATTAGATTTCTGTCTCTATTTCATCTTTTAAATTAAATTAAAATACTAAGGTCCATAAATTCAAACCAGATCAAATGTAATTGGCAGAAATGGCTGCACCATTGAAATTAATAAATAGTAGAAATTTAAAAATACATAATTATCCTAGGAATTTATTTTCAGTCCCAGTTTCTATCTGGTTCTTTGTCTTCCATGGGAAGGCTGGAACCTTGAAGGGTCTGGGGTTCTAATGTAATCTGAGTTGTCCAGTTTCCTGTGCTCAGGATAATAACTGGTTCAATTTTCTTATACATCAACTTACATTCTATTGTACCTACACATCTTTATTTCCCTTACACCAAATTACATTATACTGCATCTATAGCTTAATTTGTAATTCATCCATAAACCATTGGTCCTCCAAAACCACAAAACATATACCTTAAATTCATGAAGGGACACCTGTCCCTTTTGGAAGATCTTCATGAATTCTGTGTTTTCTGCCTCTTCATGAACATCTTTAGTGTTTTCCTTCAGGGCTTCTGAAAGGTCCTGAAACTTTCTATTGAAGATATGAAAAAAGGGGGTGGTTTAGGATAGAATTGGTATTAAAGAATTTCTCATTAGTCCTTTAACAAAGAAATTAAACTGGCAATCTTAGGAAACCAGAGAAAAAGATGAGCATCCTTTCTAGACAATAATGAAAGGACCTCTCTATTCTTCAAGGACAAGATATGTTCAAATAAAAAGTTACATTTCTTTGGACAAAAAAAAGAGTTTGGGAAAAATTACAAAGATCAGACAAAAAGATCACATATCAGGCTAACATTTAGAATGGAATCAGATTGATGGATTACAATCTATTTATTCATACAAAATTTTCTTTTCTGGGGTCACAGAGACCTGTTAACAAGAGAAATACCAAGAACTCTAATGTAGAACATCTGAACGAGAAAAGTACATGCTGAATATATGTATAGTAATATCTTAAAACCAACACTCACCTTTCAGTGTGCTGAGCCATTGTTCCCTTTTTCTGTTGTTCGCTATCCTTTCTTTCGTCTTTCTGTTGGCCTTTTGCTTTCTTCTTTCCAGAGGCTGAGAGGTTTCTGAATGAAGCAGTCCTCCTCCTTCATCGTTCTCTTTATATATTCACTGTGGGATCACGTGCTCAGCCAGAAAACATCTGACCTCAGAAAACATACAGTTCTTTTGCAACATGTACACTTTTTTTGCCACACCCCCTCACGAGAGAAGTTCAGCCCTTTTTTTTCCCTTTTCTGAGTAGGGAGGGAGGAAGAGAAGTCATCTGATACTGCTTTATTGACATCTAAGCACAACAGGATGTCAAGAAACTTCTCTGTAAAGAATGCTGGGCATTAACCATTTCATTCCACAGAGCAAACCAACTTCTCTTTTCAAATATTAGTGACGCTTGATAGTATTTGTTTTTTATACATATTGGATATAAAGTACAAGCAATTCAAAAGAGGCAGACAATGTACTGTACATCATTTTTATTCCTTGATTTAGGGGATAATCTTATTGGAAGCTTTGATAT